GCAACAACGCTTATGTACTGTATTTCAAATTACGTGCGCGCGCGCACGTGACATTGTTAATATTATTCCGAAATTTTGAGATCGCGCGCGAAACTGCGCGGGCACAAATCTCCGAGAAGGTGAGAGATCACCTCGCATTCGAAGAGAAAAACAAATGCAATAAGTATGCCACGTCGCGAGATGCGGCAGCACAGCAACGAAGCAATCGTAAAATCTCGGATGGGCCACCACACAGTTAGACAGTTAACCCCGCAATAACCCCATCGTCACACACGTGACGTTCTTTCACAATCGCCGTGCACCACCAGGCGTGGTTTCCACGCCTACACATGATCGCGCGTATCTATACACAAGTGCTCGTAAAGCAAACCCGCGAACGCCACAGTTAGAGAACGCTCGGCTCTCGCCCGATCATCATTCCGTCGGAATAACTTCACACGATCGTCCGCGAGGCAACGAAACGCTTGAGAAAGACGTAACACGACCGCTCCTGATCTCTTTCTTCGTTCGAATAAAAGCGCGTAACACTTTCGCGCGGGATAATGGTCGCGTGCAGGTAAACGCGATTCTGTATACCTGTACGCGCGACCGCTCAGGATGTATTTATACAAAGAGCTATTAATATAGGCTTTTTTTTTTATTATCTCTCGACCGAGAATCTCCGCGCACGCTACGGAGAATCGAAGAATATGTATCAAATTATCTCGGTGTTTCTCTGCGAGAAAACAAAACAAATTCACTGGAGAGTGTAGTCTTCGTTAAAAGAAAAAAGAAAAAAGAAAAGAAAAAGAACATTCTCTGCTTCTCTTTTCCCACAGAGTATCAATTGACCCACAAGTCTCGTACATTTTCCACAAACCTCCGATAGACCACAAATATATACAGACGCGTACAAACACAAGAGGTGTTTTAACAGATTTGAAGAACGTAATTACGGTCGTGTTGTTGCTTTTTCTTTAAAACCACAAAAAGGAAAGAAAATACGACAAACAGTGAGTTCATTACGGTGTCAACGACTGTGTTACAACACATCGTGCTTGTCCGTTGCGATACTTACGCTCTCGCGAAAATAGTAACCGTATTTTATGACATCCTGTGTGTTGTACCATTGCGATTCTTCTTCCGGCTTTTTCACATCGTTACTATTGACATTCGTTCGAGTCGTTCATGCGCTATTGCGAAATTCGCGGCTGCTTCTCGCTGTTGCTCTCGCATTTGATTTAATAAGATTAATTAATTTTAATATTGATTAATTAATTTCTTTATTATTCTTACTTTCATTTACCCACTCATACACACACACACACGATGGAAACACATCCGTGGAATAAACCGTTCGTGTACAAACGAGCGTATCCATTTTAGAGCAAAGCTAGCAAACCGTAAAACTCTACAGTTAGGCACCTCGGTTTTTGATTTATTATATATAGGAACGCCCATTTACGTAGTACTACATGGACACCGGCACATACTAATACGCGAGTTAAATCACAGAGCATAAAACGCTACAGTTAGGCACTTAAGCTGACCACATCGTCGCTGATTTCGGTTGTCCGCGTACTACGGTTCGCTTCATGGTCGATGCTCACGCTGGCGGCGACCGTGTAACTTGTCGTAGAATGCGCATTCGTTTAGCTGTATCCTGTCGGGACGTTGATTTATGTTTTCCAAGGAAAATCTTTGAGTTTTGTTCAACTTTCGATTTCCGTATTGGAGATATCTCCAATTAACTTTTTGCTCTTGCAACAACGATTATTGCATTTACGATTGGTATTTGCATTTTCAATATTATTTACCGATAAAATCTCTAATCACAGATGTACAAATTGCTTGGTTTAATAACATCTCTCCGCACTTTGATTGAAAGTGTGTTTCGATTTTTGTTGAATTGTCGCAATACTTGTCAAAGAGAACCATGTTACGGAAATATTCGAAGAAAAAGAGAAAAAGGAACGTAATACGAAAATCACTACCGGGAAGAAATCAGCCGTAAAGGAATCCTTCCTCTAATGGTTACGGAGCGCAGCGCAGCGTTCGCTATTATAAAAGATATAAACGGACGAAAAGGAGAAAGAAGAGAGTCGCGGTGAAATAAAAGGGAGAACGTCTAAACCAAGAAAGAAAGGAAAAAACAAAAAAAAAGGCCAATGATAGAGCGCGGAACAGAGACCCGTTGAATAATCAACGACGACGGTAGCTATTCAAGGTTGGCTGACCTTGGTAACCTTCGGCTAAATCACGACTGCGGCTCACACTCTTCATCATCGCCGTAACCCAATTTGTTTCTTCGACGAAAGCGCCATTCACTTCTTTTTCGCAAAAGTTTGCGTGTTTGTTTTTCTTCTTCTCTGACTGGTCAACCTCACATGGGTCTGTTCACGTGGAAGACGTTTCTTCCGTGATCAAGTGGATTCATCTCTCGCCGTCACCATCGCAGGAAATAAAAGTGAAGTGTTTTTTTTTTTTTCATCCGCTTTATAATTGCAAAGCAACGCAATTTCTTAGTTTTACAAATTCGTATTATTAGCCTTGTGTCCTACTAATGCAATTAGAATGGCATCTCGGTGAATGTGAAAACCTCTCGTGGAAACCGCAGATGAACTCGTGGAGCGTTTCCCTCGGAGGTTTTCCTCCTTTGACAATTCCCGTGCGAGTCGGTAACGATGTTCGCGTGTATGTAACGACTGGCATTAAGGCAAGAATCTTCAATTTGCTCCTCGAGTCTTTCTTAGAAAAAGAAAAACCAACTCTAGGCAACGGGGTAACGAGTTTGCAACATTGTTCACACACTCACACGTACGAGATCTCTTATTGCTCCGGCAGTTTTTAAACAACGTCCCCAAAGCACACACCGCTCACGTGCAAAGACCGTGTATTTAACTTGATCGAGCTTTGTAACTTAATTGCTTATCGAATTAAAGTCAACGTCATATATTTTAAATAACCAACGTGCGATATACACACGTGTGGTATAATCATGAAAACGAAACCATTTTTCCGATTTTGTTGCACAGAAGCTTAAACTTGCATCTTCACGTACATACTTTTAATTTCATTGCGGAAGCCAAGCGAGCGCGTTCTCGGGTTTTCATTTAATTACATTTCTCCTGAGTTTAATCTTAATCGTAACATTCAGTAGAAACACGTGGTATAATTTTACATCTGTATTAACTGGCAAAACACTATTTCTCGGTTAGTGACCAGTCTTTACAGTTATTTTGAGTATGAGGATAATCGTATTTCAGCAGCAAGTTTGTTTTAATGGTAACGCACGGTGCTTTTTCTTTTTTTTATTCGCAAAAGTTGATCCTTTGTCTTAAACGCTCTAACGACTGGAGGGAGAATGCACGTTCTGGTGAAACAGATATATTCTGCGGCAGCATCGACTCGTAAATTCAAATCTACCTGCCATTAATCGCCATATGCGAGACACCTCGTAACGAAGAACAAGCTAATTTTGAACACCGTGATCTTTTTCTCGAAACAAATAGCGTCTTTTGTAAGTAGTCGACTGTTTAAAATTATAACCTTGTATCTGCGAACACATGAAAATTATAAAACAATAGTTTTGTCTAAAGTCCGAAGAGAACAAATTTGAAAATTATTTTTTTATAAGTCATGTATAAATTTTTCGAAACTAACCGCTGCATTTTATAATTCTAAGTTTCTAAACTAGCAAAAATAACGTAACAATCTCTCTCTCTCTCTCTCTTTCATGACTCGAGAGAAAAAAAGGATGAATATTTCGATCGTTGGCATTCCATCGCGATTCTATCGACTCTCTCGCGCGAGTCTGTGGATAAGTTTCACGGACCAACGATCTGCGAGCCCCATTAAGTTTACGGTGCCGCGAAGATGCCGAAGTTACGACTGCCGTTTGCTTCTTTCGCGACGTCTTGCGGAAAAGTTTGTCCGCTAAATCGGTTCTATCGTTCAACCGCGCGCGGGCTGCCGCTTTAACTCGCACGCAAATTACACGTTTCCGACATCAACGATGAATTGTCGAGCGTATTTACGTTTATTTAGCGTTCGGTTTATTTTTAATGCGGATCGTTTTTCGCGGAGAAGTGTATTTTCTGCACGTTTCTGTATTTTGTAATGAGGAATAATGCGCGATATAATAGCTAGCTCGCGCAGTCGTCTCATTACACTAAGGTTGAATATTATTATTAATATAATTACATGCGCTAACACCAAATGGCATATTGATGTTCGGTTTTCACGTTACGTTTGTGTTTTTTTGTTCCCAAAAAAAAAAGTTTGATCTCGTCGCGTGTCCAGTGATCGTTACGTCAAGAATTTTACAACTGCGGGCTGCTCCAACTTTAATTAAAACAACAAAGCAAACACGTTTATCATTTTACTTGAAAGCGAAGTAAAAAACCAAATATAAACAAAATATATAATCATCTTCAATTTTTTACGCAGTGCCTAATCTTTTTCTTTATTGTGTACAGTATTTGTAGTTTTTGAAAATATTTTTGAAAAGACAAATATGTATACTCTGCATGAATCTGATAAAAACTAAGAGTCGAGTTTTTTTTAATTTCTGAGCAATCTCGCGCGTAACTTTTTAGTTTATCCAGCTGTCAACCGGGCTGTTGGATTTCTTTCTATCGGCCGTAGCGCTCACACACGTCGATAACGCGATCGAGAAGAACCTACTCAAAACACGACAGAAAGAGAGGGAAAGAACGGTAAAATGTCACTATTCCCTAATTACGCCGAGTAACTAGCCAGGTCGTAAGAAGAAAGATAGATAGAGAGAAAGAGAGAGAGAGAGAAAGAAAGAGAGAGAGAAAAGAGAGAAAGACGCGCGGAAACATCACGAATCTATAGAGGCACTCGATTCCCCAGGATGGAGCAGCGGTACCGCTAATCCTACCGGCCAATCTGCGATCGTCTTTAAACGGCGTTCTCCAATCGTTCTCTAGTTATGAACGGCAAGCAGCCACGACCACCACTCGACCTACTCGGTTTATAAAGTCAGGCGGATGCGCTACCTCGAAGACAGAGCCGTGCCGACAGTCCAGCTAACAGGAACGTATTTTTTTCTTACATCAGAGGGGCACGGACGAGTTGAGTGTTCGAGTCGCGTGTGATCGGCCCGGTGTCGAAATTTATCTTAGCGGAGAAAGTCCTCATCGATACGTCTAATATCTCCGCCTCGTTCGATAAAACGAAACCGGTTTTTTTTTTTTTTTTTTTTTAAGTTTTGACTAAGTTTTGAAAGAAGCTACGCACACACCAGTGATTGGAACTGTCAAGTGAGTTAGAGACCAGGACTAAAAACTTAGGACTCGGAAATCAGTGAATAGTCAAAAGGTACGTGGTAATTTTGGTGTTACAATTCCTGTGCGGAAAGTGTCTCGTTCGTTGACGCGCGAAAGGCGCACGGCCGAGGAGGCACCTCGGCGTGATAAAAAGAATCGATGACCGGACGGGCTCGTTAGGTGAGAAACCCGCGAAACCGGGAGATCTTTACTTAACGATTCCGGATCGAGTCGTGGAAATACATCGAGAAGTGTTAGCACGTGGAGAGAAACGTGCAGAAGTTCACGGCGAAGGTCCTCCTCGGCAAAGTGCCTTCACACAGGTGAATGCTCGTTTAGTCGATCGAGACCTTATATCGCGCAGTACAAAGTATCGATATAACAGTAGTGAGGCTAATTTTCATCAGTGCTCTCTGAAAAGACGATAAAAAATAACAATTGCAATTTGCGTTTTCTCACAAACGGACGTCACAAACGTCTGTTAATAATTTCAAAATAAATTTGTCCTTGTTGTGAGGAGACGAATGTCTATTGCGCCCGGGTAAAATAAAATTTGTCTCGCGAATCACAGTATTTCTTGCGGCCGCCATTCCCACGGTGAGAGCTCGGTTCAAAGTCAGGGCCGTAACTGTTGAGCAACTTGCACGCGGTAATAGCACGCGGATGTTGCAAAATACACAAGCTATATCTCAAGAGAAAAGATCTCTCAAGGATGAAGTGATTAAACTTGAACTCTCTTCCTCTCGACACATGTGTGTATATTCTATCTCTTCGGGATTCACTACATCTGTAACGGACATCAAGTTTGAATTCTTTTTATGATTTAACACGATACGTCATGTTTTTCAATTTTTATGTGTCAAATATTTTTATATGTCGAAACAAAGAAAATACCGTGTATGCAGATTGTTTTTTATTTCAAAAAACGTGGATGTATACATCGTAGCCACGATGGTTTCAAAGCCGTTATTGTTACGTGGCCGCGAAGGCACGGTTTCTTTAAAATGCAAGACGAGTGCGCGGCAGGCTGGCAGTTGAGGGCGCGAAAACGAAACTCATTTCTCTTAAGCGGTGTGTGACGCATACGCGCTGCTCGATCTACGGTCTCGTTCATGACGTTGATTTGCTTCGCGTTCATGGATTAACCTTGCATTCGCGTAACGAATGCAAAAGAGAGAGAGAGAGAGAGAGAAAGAGAGAAGGAGAACTCGATACCGCGAACGGAATAGCCCTGTCAAGGTCGAAGAGATTATTCTTAGCTGAACGCGAGAAAATGGACGCTCATAACAGGGACTTTGATGCAGCAATTTCTGTGCTGAGCTTTACTCATTAATTTATTCAACATCTGTCAATGATTTTTAGAATCATCCCGTCAATCTGCGAGAAAGTTGGTGGGTACTGCACACAACCCTTGTTCGCGTGTAAAAAGTTCGCACGCCTATGAAGTTCTCTCTACAATGGAAATTGCGAAGGTTTCGAGATAAGCGTCCAATTTCACGTATTCGACCTACGTGTACCGAATGCTCATATGCTGGTACCTTTCGTACACGTCGTCAGTCCATCGACCTCCCTTATGAGTCAGGAATACCTAAAATTAGATATTCGTCTGCATTCGGTGTCTGTGATATACTGCGGATTTTTGCATTAAAATATATAAGAATCGAAAATCATAAAATTTTTATTAAAAACTTTATGCGTACAAAATAAACGTTCTGATATTCTTGTATGATCGATAAAAAATATAAAAGTAAATAGTGTAAACAATAATAAATATTTGGAATTACAATAATAAACTAAAAACTAATCGAGTTTCTCGTTATAATCTGTTGAGCAATTGCTGAGAAATTATTGCTAGACGTACTTCGACGCCGAAGTAGTTCTCGATCCGGAGAGTTCAATGCCAGACGAGCGTAGCAATCTCTCGATGTTTTCCGCGGTGTAAAAGAGACTCTTCCGCGAAATTTATGGATCATTTGCTTCTAGAACCTAATATATAACAAAGCTTTTTCTATTATTTGTCTAATAGATTTGAAAGGTTAAACTAGTAGATGTATATGAACGTGTCGATGATAAATTTAGAATTTTTTAACAGATTTGAATAGAGAACTTCTATTTTAATATTCTTTACGTTTTCGATAATTTGTGCAAAAGTCACATTTGCGCAATAAATAAAATTTTTTTGTGAAAGAAAAATCGTAAACATTTTTATTGTTAATCTTCATATGATTCATTATGCATTTATCTTTTTAATTTATTATAAAATCACTAACAGCTTTGTAAAATATGTGAACAATGCAACAAAACACACAGGCAATAATTTTATTAGGCAAATTTTAAAATTACTGTCACATTATGGTCAATCTATAGAGAACGATGAACTTATTATAGATATATAATTATAATTTGCAACTTCTTTATTATGCAAGTTTATACGCGCGCAACTACATTACAAAGCGCGCGTTTTAATTATGCAAATGTGAGACGTCCATTGCAAGTTGCACAATCTTGATTAATCTTTAAAAAAGATGAAAATAGCTAGACATTTTTTCCAGCAATTCGTGTTACGCGTAGTAATTTTGATTTCTCACTACGTTTACTTCTCACATCTTGCGGGGCAGGTTATCGCCAAACTCTAGATAAATTACTGATTTAGAACTGTTATTAGGATGATAATTACCGGTCTACTAATGAGTCTTCTCACAAAGCACGTTTTTCTTATATAATTTAGAGTCTAGTGATTCCCCAACCGTAAAATTCAACACTGCTCGATATGAAAAGTACTCGTTAAAAAAGAAAAAATTAATAAAAAAAAAATATATATTTTTTTATTTTTATTTTATAAATAAGTTTTAGTTCTAGTTATATATTTATCAATTTGTATTTTTATATTATATACACAATGTATTTTTTATACACAAATCGATATTTGTTACTATAATATTCAAGTTTTTTCACGTGTTATCGGCGAACAGAGTTCAGTTTCATTTGACCATCCCAAATAATTTCACGCAATTCTCGTCGAGCGTCCTTTGTGCTTGAGTGATGTGCATCCCTTTGCTCGATCATTGACACGGTATCCTGATTTCTCGGAACTGCTCGTCTACGCTGTGAAGAACCCGGTATCAAAGTCCCATTAGCGTACATAGATTACGACAATAGACAATTTAAACGAGGAAAGGGAGGGTCTGCGCTCGCGCGTTGTACTTCATCTTCAGTGCAATTCACCACTGCGTGACCAGCTCGCTTCTCTTCGCCATCAACGCATTGACGTCACTCTGATCGGGCGCAACTATTCTCACCGATGAGAATCAGTTTTTACTGCGTTACTAGGAGAGATGGTGTTGAGAGAGGCACAAGAGAGAGTTAGAGGATCAGAGATAATCTTTAATCTATGCATGTAATGCAGCATTTTTTATACCTTAATGGCGCTCATACGTTTTAACTTTACGACTATCCGGTATCGTTTACCTAGCGAAGCTATAAGCTATGGTTTTTACTGATGATATCGATCATGTAGGAGAAAACATTTATTCTCGAGTTTAAAACTCGAAAGCGATCGTTAATGGCAAATTTATTTATATATCAGCTGTTAAACACACACACAAAAAAAAACACCGCGTAATGAAATAACGTTTGCGCTAATAGTCAACGAGTCTTTGAGAAAATATATGAGATAATAATAATCCGAAAGTCTCTTTTGTATCGGGATACGCAGATGTTCAGAAACGCGCCTCATTAATGATGCAGCTGCGCGGAATTAATTTCGAAAATCACGGTGTAGACATCGTGATTAAATTTTACATATAAATCGCACGCTTGTCTCGTCTCGGAGAGAAAACACTGTGCCGAGTTTGCCGATTGAATGACTTCCACGAGAAACTTAACAAGCGCGTAAACTATTTTTCGCGCAGCGCGTATTTCGAGCACGAGTGTCGTCCTGTCGTCGTTCCGCTCCGCTTTGGTTTTCCTTTTCCTCCGATGTCGTTGCGGCACGACCTGCCCTACTATCTCGCGTTCGGCCGATGGAAGATCTCGCAGGCGCCTCCTGGCCGTTGACCCCGTGGCTGCCAACGGCCCTGACCAAGACTCCGTTTAGTTCGCGCGCTCGTTCCATCTCCAATCCACTCTCTGTGCTCTCGCAGGCCGATTCGACGCGCGCGCGCGCGCAGGTACATATAACCGCATGCGCGAACTCTCATGATCTTCCTTCACCAGCCGGGAAAAAGTTGAGTTGTGTTTCCAACGATGGCGTGATCTCGACGATTTCAATCTCACTTAAAAGGACGACATCGCCCATTGGCGAAAGGAAATCGCCGTTTTACTTGTCGTTGTATAGGTATCTTGAAGAAGAGATTTACTGTCTCGTTAGAGGAATTACACATTTGCGTTCCTTTTGTTTTTTTTTATTTACGGCGCGATTGTTTTAATTGAATGCGATGAATTTTTTGTTTTTCTAAAACTCACGAAGGGATCGTCTTCTTCCGTGTGTTCTTGTCAGTATGCAAGTCTGTTTCTCTCTCTCTCTCTCTCTCTCTCTCTCTCTCTCTCCTTCTCTCTTCGAAGGTGGTAGACCAATGAAAATCAATAACCGTAGAATAAAGTGTCTATAAGATACGCGACATTCGAACAGGTTGTATCTCGATTGACTACTCGTTTCTATGCAAGTGCTCGTCTATCTGGCTTGGCAGGAAGTATCACATAGACAGCAACGTAGCTTGAAATTAACTCTCCGCAAAGGCACGCAAAACGTATCGGGAATAATAAAATACGCAAGAGGAGGACTAATCACACGCGCCGCGGGTTCTCCGATAAATAATTACGCGACGAGGAAGTATATATGAATTGATAATTTGATTCAATGTGTGCGTAATGATACGCGCATGACACGCAACCTTTTTCGATCTGATTTTCATCGGCACAAGAAATTGAAATTTCTCCACACTGAAACTTTTCAACACAAACAATTTATGTCTTCGTAATAATTTGCAATTTCGCAACGTGTGTGAAACATCTTCCGCTACCTGCGTAACGTTACACCACATCGTCACGATA